GTAGTAATGGTAGTAGTAGTAGTAGGTAGTAGTAGTAGTTGTTGTTGTTGTTGTTGTTGTTGTTGTCGTGGTGGTGGTGGTGGTGGTGGTAGTGGTGGTGGTGGTGGTGGTGGTATACGCAGTAGTAATAGAAAAAAAGGAACTCGTAGTCACCCTTCATGATGAAAACTTATCTCGCACCTGAGACACGTCCCATGGTTACGAAGCCGCCCTCCTCGCGGATGCGTCGTGCCTGACGGAGGCTGCTTGCAAATGCGCTTTCATATCGAGCTTTCTTATATCTTCCTTGTCGGACGGTCTATCGGTCTAACATCTAACAAACAAACACACTCATCCCGCAAGCCTTTAGATTCTAGATTCTCTAGATCGCCCTAACTGAACCGTTCCTTGCTCAAGGGTGGACCCGTGACCCCTTAGTAGGCAAGTTTTGTCCGGGCTTCTCATGGACTCGCAAATTGTCTGAAGATTTTAGGCTGAGGCCATGGGGTTAAGAGTTTCACTGGCCATGAGATCGCGGTGATGCAAATGAACATGACCACTGGAGATCGGGGACAGGCTCCTCGGGTCTTTAGTAGTCACTGTATAGACAAGCCCTGTTGCACAGTACACAGAACCTGGATGCACAAGAGGACAGGCAGGAGAGTAAGTTGTCATCACCGACATCACGGACCAACAATGCCATCATCATGCGTTCCGGATGCCATTTTTTCAATCCATGAGACCGCTCAGAGTGCCTCTGCAGCATCGGTCGGCCGATGGTCAACAGACAGCCGCGTGGATCCTGGCAGCGGCCGTGTTGACTTCAGTAGCGCTGCTCTTTTCTTGCCGCTGCAATGACCGGGACGGCAACATCACACTAGCACCGGTCTCAAAAAACCCTTTCGCACCGACAAAGTCTCAGTTTCCTCCCGATCCATCGACGGTAACGGCGCGAGAGTCCCCAACGTTTGCGACCTCGGCTTCTTGCAGATCGTGCTCGCGCGGCTCAGCACTCTCAGTCTGAGGACTCTAAGGGTTGGGGCCTTTGGGTGAGCCTGATGAGGTCGGTCAGGTTTAGTACTATATCCTATAAGTATGTGTGAGAAACCCCGGTCACGACGACGATGGCGATGGCCCCCAAGAAACAGGCTACAAGACGACCAAGACAACAAAAGCAAGAACGGCAGGAAGCTCAACGAGCAACAACTACAGTAATCTGATTACAATCATGAAGCGCGGCTGCGGCAGCAGCAAAAGCAACAGCGAGCAGCGACTGTTGTAACAACAACGACGACGGCTAGGACGGCAGCAATCACAGCAACAGCAAGAAGCAACACGAGTATAGCAACAGTGTACTGAAAAGGCTCGATGTTTGCGCTCAGGGAGCAATCGCCGCACTTGTATTCGCACAGGGTGAAGACAAGAGCAGATCCCAAGCGCGATCTCGACAAGGACGAGAAGAAGGACTCTTTTCTGTTTCCGGGTGGTCTGGATCCAGTTCGATCTCTACTAAATCTGCGCCTTGTGCGCGGCCTAGAACCTAAAGGGACGTGGAACCTTCTACACGCTGTATACCATCCGACTACATCATGGAGCAGGCCGAGCCGTCCTCAAGTTCGCAGACTTGTTGGGCCAGCTCCTCTAGGGACTCCTCCAGGGCTGCATCTGCTTGCACCCTTTCGTAGAAAACCAAAGTTGGGACAAAGAGCCCGGACAGAAGGATGCGAGCCGCCGAGCTCCAATCCTCCTTCTCCTGGACGCAGGTGTCGTCGAAGAGGACCCAGTGCCGCTGCGACGGACACCAAAACAATGCCACATAGTGCATGCCGCTGTAGCACACGAGTCCGCGAAGGCCATAAAGCACTGATGTCTCAGCAGAGGTTTCGAAGATCTCCGTCATGTACAATCTGGCTTGGATCATGGACAGCACTTGGATCAGCTGTTCTCGTGTTGGACTCGAGCTTGGCCATGCCAGGGACAACAAGAAGGTCTGCGGCTGACGAGTCAAAAACCGCTCTGTGGCAAGGGTATGCCTCGAGTTGCACTCGCTGCAATTGCCCCCACGGAGTTGGCACAGCTTGCGCATCACTTGCTGCAAACTGGACCGCCCGGGCCTAGTGACGGGCACGAGGTGGATCGACTGCCATAGGTTCATGGCTCCAAGAGAGTCGGCTCCCTCGGAGTGCACCTGCCCTGCGAGATCTTCCCGGCACTCCAGCAGCTCCGTCACGTACACGCCATACGTGAAGGCACTGGTGACCGTAGGCTCACCTGTGGCCCCACAGAAGGTGCATCGAGGGACGTCGACATACTCGACACCGAAGACTTCGTGGCTCAAGCACGGCGGATGGCAGCCGAAGCGACTGGCTTCTTCGATGAACTCGGCATGGACACACTGGGCACGAGGCGAAGCTGACGGGGCAAGGCTGCTGCTCAAGCTGCAAGCGTGCAAGATGCCCAAAATAACTTCGATAGTTTCTGTTGCATCCTCCATGTCGCCCGATTGAAAACGTCCTTGCACATTGTATGCGAGTGAGAGCGCCTTGCGCAGAGCATCGGGTGGAAGCACATCCCTGTCAGAGACAGCAAACTCGTGAAACAAGCTCTTCAGGGCACAGTAGCAGCAGTGATCATTCCCAGCTGGACGTGCCAACGCGCCGTAGCTCGAGGCAGCGTGTGAGTGCACGTGACATGGGGCCTGAAGCAAGCGCTTTCTGAAGGACTGGAGATTCCACAAGGCCTGAATGACAACATTTAAGAAGCAATGGTTGGCTCCGCTTTGGTTCTCCAAACCACGGGCTCGATAAGTCGGCCGCAAGCCATGATGTAAAGCATCCACGGGCTGAGCGACAGAGGGCATCGTATCGAATTCACGAATCAATCGTTTATTTACAGGGGGCACGAACTCTTGTGCGCGATGCCCATTCTCTAAGCTAGGGCGACCGGCCTATTACCAGCCGCCTCGAAGTCTGGAAGCTGCAACGCAAGCACCAAACCCTGGGAAATCTGTTCCTGACGAAAGCTATACTGTGATCTACGGTGTGCAATAGCTGCTGCCATCTGCTGCCCAAGTCACGTGGACGCGCATGCCCTGGGAGGCACGGGAGCAGTGCTTGTTCGGTGGCACTTGTCACACCACCACTTCCACGCACAAACTCACGCGTTCACAATTATACATGCGAAAAAGCAGATCCTGGAATTTCAGAACGTGTGTCGGAGTCTGTATAGATCTCAAGTGCTTGCATATTTGCGTACGTGTGCGTTTGCCCGTCTGCTGGCAACAGATGTGCATGTGTGGGCAAGCATGGGCATATGTGCATATGTGTATGTTTTTATTTATTTATATTTATGTATGTATGTGTGGAGGCTTTGCTTTGCCTGCTCCATACTCTGTGGTACTCTGTGCACATCGCACACACAGGGAGTCGCTAGAGTTGCAACACCTCAGAGTCCTGCAAGACTTGGCCTGACACCTGGCACCTGGAAGTCACTAATCATGCAAGCGGTACTTGAATATTCCATTTATGCGTGTGAGCGGGTGTGTATACGGGTGCATGTGTACCTGCATATATACACACAGACGCCACAGACAAACAGATAGGTAGATGGATAGGCAGACCGACCATGCATGCATGCATGCATACATACATGCATACATACATACATTCATACATACATACATACATACATACATACATACATACACACCCACACCTCCTCATGTACATACACAACGAACCATATCTGTTAAGGAAGCCTTCAACAACAAAACGTGAGCACATGGCCGGGGACATCACCTTTTTGGGGCACGTGCCTAGCCCAAACCACCTAGAAGCCAAAAAAGCAAAACTCGAAGCCCCCGACAAACACGACCTAAATCTATATTCGCACAGCTCCCAGAACCGCGAAGCCTCGACCCTTGCAAAAATTGAGTGGTTCCTCCTTCAGCAGGGCCGCTGTAACACAAGCCTCACATGTCCTAAATCCCAAAGCCTACAAAGTTGTGCCTAAACCCTAAACCCTGAACCTGAACACTAAACCCTAAACCCTAAACCCTGAACAGCTCGCGCCTGCGGAAGCCTCCTCACCAAAGCTACGGTGGCGGTGCAACCGAAGCGCCATGCGCCGACCTCTCCGTCTTTCGGGCTGGGAGCCAAGGCTTCGGGTCTAGGGCTTAAGGCCTTCGGGTTGAGGGTCTAGGGGTTTAGGGTTTAGGGTTTAGGGGGTTTAGGGTTTAGGGTTTAGGGTTTAGGGTTTAGGGTTTAGGGTGTAGGGCTCCGAGCTTAGAGCTTCAGGTGTTTGGGATGAAGGGCCCTAAGGGTGGAGGCTGAGGGCTTCTCCATGGAGCTTGGCTTGGAGTGAGGGCAACCTAGCAACGATCCCGCCTGGCGTAGCTGGTCATCGGCCTGCGATTGCAAAACGGCTGGCATAGAGTTCTGGGACTTCAAACTCGGGCAGTAGTGTACCTCCGATTTCTTAGTTTTAGTGTCTCGGTCGTGTTTTCTGCTTGGAGGCTTCGAACGCCTCAGGAATCGAAGTTTTTGAGTGTTGAATCCAGCCTCTCGCGCTTGCACAAAGGTTTCAGCCGCGTCAGAATGAAAGGGAGCCCAGTCAGCTTCTGCAGCGAAGATGAAAACCTGGGGCAAACCGCCTGGCCAGAGCCCCCATTCGCATTCGCCGAAGCTGCTTGTGGCTGTCCTACTTTTGGATCTGTCAAGACAACAGGGCCGACGACGAATTTTTGGGGCTAGGCCAGAGGAGGACAACCCATGAGAGCCCCAAACACCTGACTTCGGGAGTGAATTCCGAGACTACCGACGATCTCCCAAAATAACTTTGAGCCGAATCACAAAAAATCGATACACCCTGGACCCCCAAAACCCCTGCCGAACCCCCCAGCCTTCTGAAAAGTTCGGGTCAATGCCTCTGCTACCACCTGGTTCAGGGCCCCGCAAAGGCCAATGAAAGCATACCGGTTGAGGGTTTAGGGTTGAGGCTTGCGCGTTCGTTCGGGCACTGCGTGGGACGCATGATATGGGAGATGTGGGACCGCATACATGCGCAAACCGATACACATGTGTATGTGTGTGCGTGCATGTATGTAGGCACATGTGCCAGGACGCACCCGCAAAAACGTAATGCACACATAGGCATGTAATGTATGTGTACAGGTATATATATGCCTGTGTGTGTGTGCGCGTGTATCTGCATGTTTGTATATGTATGTATGTATGTATGCATGCATGCATGCATGCATGTATGTATGGCTGTACGTACGTACGTACGTACGTACGTACGTATGTATGTATGTATGTATGTATGTATGTATGCATGTATGTATGTATGTATGTATGTATGTAGGTATGTAGGTATGTAGGTACAGTATGTAGGCATGTAGGTAATTCTGTAGGCATGTATGTATGCATGTCTGTATGCATGTATCTATGCATGTATCTGTGCATGTATGTATGTATGTATGTATGTATGTATGTATGTATGTACATGTATGTACATGTATGTACATGTATGTACATGTATGTACATGTATGTACATGTATGTACATGTACATACATGTATGTTAGGTAGGTAGCTAGGTAGCTAGGTAGGAAGGTAGGTAGCTAGGTAGGTAGGTAGGTAGGTAGGTAGGTAGGTAGGTAAGTAGGTAGGTAGGTAGGCAGGCAGGCAGGCAGGCAGGCAGGTCGGCAGGCGGGTAGGTAGGTGGGTAGGTAGGTGGGTAGGTAGGAGGTAG